AGCCTGACCCATTGTGACTAAAGCAGAGCTCAGTCTATAAGCTAAGTTCTCGGTGATCAAGTCGATTTCTATCCCAATGCTTACCTACGGTCATGAGTCATGGACGATAAGTGAAAAGCTTCGAACCCGGGTACAAGCTGCTACAAATGGGCTTTCCGAGACGAGTCGTTTTCCTTACGCCTCTTGACATGGTCCGGAATACTGACATCCGGAAGAGCCTTGGAATACAGCCTCTGCTTCTCCAGATTGAGAAGTCACAGCCGCGATGGTATAGCCATGTGTTGCGAATGCCTGCAGAAAAGAAGGCTAAGCAACTACTGTCTCGACTCCTGCTGTCTTCTGCCGAAGCTCATAGGCTGGCAATGAATGAGGAACGTTTGAGGCACTGTCTGTCTTGTTTGCCTTCGCGACCCTTAAAAAGAAGCGACCATGGTAAATGAAGATGAAGTTTTAGGCAGAGGCAGTGGTTGGTGTCTAAAAATCAACTGGCGAACAAACTGTCTATTCTGTCCAGAGAATAGAACTGTATGACGGGCGAGAAACCTGCCCTTCCAGCTTGGGTTTGTATTTGTCATCTTCTGACTGCTAGTACATGTGTACAGCAGGAGAGTGCCTTCTAATTCAATGGTTCTAGGCTAAAATTGAAAAAGATACTGAGGAATTTATGTTTTAGACAACACCGGTATTATATGTCTGTTGACTGTGAGGCCAAGACCGGTTTTGCATCCCTTATATCCACGAATAGCCGTTCGTTGTAGCTCTGCTGATAAACTATGCTTTAGTTGAGTTTGGTGGAGTTCAGTGCTTCCTTAAGTTCAACAGTTCAACACACCTCCGCGCTGCTTGGAAGGTAGTTTCCAGATGACATTCGAAAACGAAAATAAACGACCACTGCTTGCCATTCACAATGAACGGGATTGGAAAGCGGCGCGACGTTATGCACATAACATTAGTCATTTACATAAAGGGTCGAATGTATCTGCATTGTTGACCGTTGAGGGGGAGGGGTGTGATCTATATTCGCATTCACATTCGAAGTCGCCGGTCCACTGTTCGTCAGCTGCGCCTGTGTGACGGTAAGTTGAAAGAACGCCATGGCATTGTGACGGACGGTTGTCAGGGCCGGCGAGGCTACGGTCGGCGTCGACGGCCAAAAACGCCTATTATGCAAGCACCTAACGCGTTTCCGGCCGAACATCGTTGAAAGTGGCGCAGTAAAAACCTACGAGATGGCCGGCCTAATTGACTTTTGTAAACTAGCAAAAAGCTTACGCGGTCGTAAATGTTTTTAATAGCCCCATTTCTGCCTCTCGGAGTTGTCCGTTTTCACCGAACTTCTGACCTTGCTCGGTTGAAATCTTCTCACTCAACGCCTGGAGCGACTCCTTTGTTCCAATGCAGCGATCGTTTTTTGGCTTGCGACCTGCGGGCAAAAATGAGTAAAAAATTAATAACCTCATCACACGGCGTCGACGTAATATTTGGCACGTAAATTAACGCCAGTAACAGCTCACCGCAGCTTATAACGTGTTTGCCTTTGATTCCAGCAGTCGTTGAAGATAAAGCCGTACTGACATTTACCATCAAAAACGATTCATCCACCATGCTGAGGGAGGTAGAAGAGTTAGAGATCTCATATCAACCGGATCACCCGGAAGAACGTTTTCTAAAGATGAGCCGAAGCGTTCAGTACTGGTCAGTCCGATTGACCAATTTGTTTACTTGCGTTTTTTATAAATAAACTGTTTTTATACAACTGGAAAATAGCTTAACAAATAAAATAGCCATACAACAGAAAAATCCCCGATGGTGAAGAAAGCATTTAAGAGTAAATGGGAAGGGTAGTGTCTGTTTGTGATTAGCATATCTGCAACGGAATAAATATTCGATATCTCAAATGACTGAATTTGGAATATCGTGTTGAGGATGGCTCAAGACACTTTTTTGTCAGCAAAACGCCAACCTTCCAACGTAAACCGCACATCTCAAAAATGCAGCTTGTCATCCCTGAAACCTACTCGGCATGCAACTCACACACCACCTCAAATTGCACATTCTTACTGTCCAGGCTCTTTCTATGCAAGAAGGGTCATGAGTACAGTGGCATAATAAAATCTCCATGCCCAACTGCACATAATAACGTATGAAATAACACTCAAATCTACTGCCGATGAGGAATCTTTCATTTGTCGATGAAAAGTCTTCCTCAACAAACCGTTCCGGTTAACTCGCCGAATTCTATGCTCGGTCATCATAAAGTCACGTCGCTCACGAGCTCATTAAGTTCGTTGTGGGATCTCGGTAGCAAAATTTCTGGCTCCTCGGCCAGTGGTCGCTGAAAGACATCCTTTGGGCACACCTCCAAGAGTTCAGGATTATTTAATTGGCGGAAACGACGGAAAGTCATGCCTAAAATCATGTCAATTTGCTTATCGCCCTGGGTAAGTGACAGGTGTGAGCACCGTAACCCCTACCGCAAACGACGACATACACACACGTCTCCGTCATGCCTGTGAACGGCGGTGTGCACTGAATGCGGAACGAGGACTTCAAGCTGCTTCAAGGTAGTATTTGGCCAACCGGTCGCATGCTTTACGAGGTCATGACATAGTGCTTCGAGGACAGCGTCGAATCCAGGAGATACCAGGTTCCATTCTGGCAAAAATGTGATTTCAGCCAAGAATGATGACTAGCAAAAATTGAGCATAACACGGGCCTGGTGAGGTCACATCAGAATGGAGACAAGGGGTGTAGTAATGCTGTTTGACGCAAGCGCTTCTTACGAGTGCAAGTTACCTTCACTCAGCGGTTAATTATCCAGTGCAATAATTAGCACAGGGTTAAAACCTAAAAAAGTGCTGTTTTATATTCTTCTTCTTATTAAAGCTGCAGCATAATCAAAGTCTGGCACGTTGCATAAATCTGGACATGTGATAGGAAATTGAACTTTTCACCGAAACAGACGGTTTGTAATAAATAGCCTTTACTCAAGTTATTCAGCATAAACTGTGTATAGTTACATTTTTAATTACCATCTTTCACGCTGACAGATTCATTAGTGGCGTAGCTAAAATATTGCTAGGAGAAAGACACGATGAGTGCCAAGTACATGAAACAATAACTCATAGATTCACCATAGAGCACATGTTGAAACCTGCCGTCTAATTTTTGGACAAAGTGATTTTTATGGATGAATTATATAGGTGTCGGTGTTGTTATTGGGGAACGCTTAATTTTGTATTGGTGGCGAATCTTTTCTCACGCTGATTGACCGAGTGATAGCTGAAGGCCAGAACCTTCTGATACTCAGTGATATCGTGTTAATTTTGACCTTCAGAGACTCTTCCAGATCTACAGGTTAACTTCGAACCAATTTTTACAGAATGAACCCAACTGTCATCTATTTTGAAAAACGTCTTTGGCATTGGGTGTCTTCGTTATTACTCGCTAGCCATCACGACAATGCCAGCTCTCAGCATTTTTTGACACTCTTAGAGCATAGACATGCGGATGAACCCTATCACTAACTGCCAAACGGTTGGCTAAGGATTTTTTGGCAACCAAGGTTGGGGGGGGTGTAGGAATCATACTTTAAGATGTGTTTATCTAGCAAAAGATGCTGTAACTACAAAACATTTATATTTGGAGAAGAAACATGGTGGTTACTACTTGACAGCATCGAAAATTTGTGCTTATCTCCACGATGCCATGATCGTTTTTTGATCGCCTTCCAGAATCGAGTCAGACAGTAAGACTAGACTAATTTTTGCATGTCTAGACTGTCTACAGATTAGTTAACTATTTATCTGATCTGTCGAACGAGGCTGCAGATTTCTGTATAAGGTTTCGATAGTCATTCTACGAATGTCCATTTGCATAGAGGCTGCGGCACCGCAACAGAATATGGAAATGTGCCTTCTAGCGATCCGCAGATGCGCTGTTGTTGAAACTCAGTTAGCCTGTTTATCACTCCTCTCTTTGGCGTACTTTCAGCGTGGCGAACTTATTTGTCTTCTGATCAGAAGCATCGAGGAAAGAGGGAAATATTTGGCTGCGTCAGATAAAGTAAGTCAATATATTTTAAACCTTTTTCTGGCATGAATTTGGACTGAGTTCAGCCGATTCTCGGTTAATGTAGTTGAGTGATTAAGCCGTCCTTCTCATGTTTATGTAACCTCCATGTCGAGGGGTTTGCGTTGAGGAAAGAAAGCAGAAACATGGACCATGCTGTTTGGTGCGAACGCCTTTTAGAGCTGCAGTTCGCCTTGACTGAGTCTGTTAGTTGTCCATCAGGTGTGATAATCCGCACTAGGTGTGGCCTTGTTTTGTTGTTATTTACGATGAACGATGCCAATTCGATCGAAGCGTTCGAAACCTAAGATCTGTGTTACATAAATAATTTAATGTTTATGTTTTTTGTTTTTCTGCAGTTAACCATATTATCGTAAAAGTAGACACTCCCAGTGTCATTCATGGCATCCTATCGATAGAAATTGTTTTCCGGTGACGGTACCTTCTACCAAATTTTGGTTGTGAAATTTGGACCTCTGCAACCACACAGCGTCGTGTAGCCTGTGTATTCGAGACATTTTTGTCAAGGCGCAAAGAAAGGCTGTTTCACAGTGAGGAAGACGGTTTCCAACCATCGTTGCCGGCGTCAGACAGAGGAGTGACGAGGAAGTACTTTGGGCACACCGGAAAGTGCAACCGGCGTTGTCCTCATCTGCACTCCCACCTCTTTCCTTCCTTCAGCGACGCCGGCGTCTTGCCGCGTTTGTGAGTTACTCGCCGGCGTAGATTTATTTATGGCCACGTATGCGTCGTTTTGAAACTTTCCGAAAAACTTTCCTCGCCTACAGCTGAACGCAAACCGGTAAATTTAAATTTAAGGCAGATCATTGCCGCCGGTCGAACTCAAAAAAGCTAATCCGGTGCCATAACTCATGCTGATCGTAAAATATTGCTCGGCGTTCTTCAAGATTAACCGGAAAGCAGGATTTATGTCTTTCGTCGAGCGTCGAATTTCGATCATGCCCGCTTGTCAGATCGACAACGCGAAGGAGACCGTGGCCAAGGAAACGGCGATGAATCGGCTGTCACCCGGCTCGTCGGCCCTCGCAACACAGAGGCAGGGGGCGGCGGTGTTTGACCCGACGTCTTCATTCATCATCCGGCCTTTTGTGAATTCGATTCTTGACAGAAGTCGCCAATGTATATGATGTCAGCGCAAAACCGACATCCGTCCACGGACACAACGGGCGCCTAGCGTCACCTCGTTCTTTCCTTCGACTCTTTCAACCAGTTTTTCAACGGCAGCACCACCGCAGCACTGCTACTGACACTGTCACGTTTGTCAGAACAACGGATGTATGGTGACTGATATGCCGTTCACCGCTATATCCGAATGGCAAATGAGAAAAAGGCAAACCAGGCTGGCGTCACTTGAGAGGAAGGGAAACTGTGCCTCCCGACCACCACTTCCCTCACGGTATAATAAGCGATTGACTCCTGGAAAGAAAAAACCGCAATTTCACAACTTCTTGCACGGCCCCTTATTCGTTGAAGCTAAAGGAAACAACTTGAACAGGTGAACACTCCACGTTAGTTAAGCACCGGCAAAGCTGGATGCATATCGCATGCCCCGTGCCTTTTTGGCCTTAACCTCGTCATGAGGCTATTTTTAAACTCAACGTTTGGATTTCATTTATTTGTTATTTACCTCAATGGTCCCCATAGTTACACTCGCGAATTACTATCTCGTCCAAGACCGAATTTTTGCGTTGCACCGAGTCTTTATTCTTAGTCGTCTAGAGCATCCAGCTAAGTAGGCCACGGCTCCACTGGAGTGTCAGATGCAGTGCGCATTGTCTTATCCGCTAAAGCCACCTCACCCTTAACACGATAGGTACGTCATGAGCTCGTACTCTTTATATGCTACCGCATAAGCATCGTAGTTTCAATAACTTTTACCAGAGTAACTGAGTAAGAAAATCAATAGGCTGCTGTGACACTGGCTGCACCTTTTTTGATATTCTTCTAGTAAAATGATTGAGAGTGGTTTTTTCCGAGATTACATCTTCGAACAGTGGCGATGACAAACGTGTAATCCTGCGTTCAGAGTAACAAAGGCAGAATTATTTGAGTACAGGCAGCGCTTAATCGAGTATTTCCCAGACTTTGCCCTTCCTAATAACATGAGGCAAAGTTTTCTTCTGATTTTTCACATTTGGTTGCAATCTTCGTCTGATCACTCCTGCTGCAGTGAAGCTTTGGAAGTCGTACACTAATTGCACCAGTACTTTGAGAAGGTACTTGCTCACCGAGGATATTTTTGTAATCTCATGACTCTAATCTCACAACTGCTCAACTTCTCTGACTTCGTTCGGTTGACCGTTGTGAGGACATATCGTCAATATTTCACGACGGTTGGCACTCAAAATGGATTGCTGAACAACCATTCACCAAAAACTCTCAAGAACAGAAAAAAATGGAGGAGGGTCGAATTGGGTCCGTGGCTTGACCGCATGAATTCAAAACGGATAAAGAATCATCCGGATCTTTCCGTTTTGCTTAATAACATGTGATCGCCGTTGGTTTCAGAGGCGCCGATCACAGCAGTGCCAAAATGGATCAGCACGCTGCATGTGTACTACTCTAAGAGCAGAATGGGACTTGTAAAAACTGAACATCGAGAAACAGACCAAACATGGAACATAAGGCCTAGAATAATGCCTAAATGATTTTAAATATGGCACCATACCTCTTGTTCAAGAGACTCCACGAAACAAGTCGGGTGATTACTTTAAAACGTGAGAGGAAATCGAAAAAGTTGCATAAAACATGGTTTAATAATACACAACGCAAAATAATATGATCAGTCCGGCGACTGACCAGTACCGACTGGCTTCGGCCCGGGTCTCATGCGGTCTTGTTGAAGATACGTGGGTAGTAGACTTTCGTGAATTTCGTTTGTCGCGCACAGTAGTTGATCGAGTTGGTTCAGAACCAGATGATAAACTTTCGGTACGTGCTACTGACTAAATAGATTTGGGGCCACAGGAGCAAGGAGGCGTATCCAATC